GAAAGAATGACATTCGCGGCTCACCTCTTGATGTCAATCTCGCTAGCATTTCCTTTGTCTACCGTGATAGTTCTGATGGCATTGAGCGAGAATTGGACAGCGAGATCCATCCATTTACTGGTCATTTTTGTGCCAAGCAAGATTTAACAACGGTGGTGGCTTGTACAAAGCGATCAAGCAAGATTAAACAAACCGTAAGGTACTCTATCTATCTCCTTCTCATTGTTGATGTCAACAAGCTTACTAAATTTCTCCTCAGCAAGCTTTACCATATCTTTCAAAGCAGCGCGGTAAGCCTAAATGCTCCATCATTAATTGTATAGTTAGCCGGTAACCACTACAGACCTGGGTAATGATGGTAGGATGTATTTCCTGCTCAAGGAATGGCTCAAGGAAGGAATGTATTTTCTGCTCAAGGAATGGCTGTGCTTGAGCCATAACCTCACCAGCTAGTATAATCACCGATGTGGTGCCATCGCCAGTTTCTTCGTCCTTCAAAGCAAAACAAATTCTTTCAAATACGACGCGATGTGTTATATTACGATGAGGATTATCGTAAATGAAAACACGAAAAATGCGGAAGAGCTGAAACAGACCTGAGTTTTGGCAATCTCGATCATGCTCTCAGCCGCTGAATGTTTTACTGTGATCTCTCTACAAGAAAATGACATCAAGCAGTCAATCCAGCAAATGCAAGGCGAATCAGACGAATCTACAACTATATAGCAAAAACTGGGAATTAGACTCCCCCGTTCCCAGAGACGGAAAAAAATTAAAGGACAGCGAGAAAAACGCGCTCGGGTCCCGGCACAAACAACCTGATTACGGTGACTGCCTTTGTTGGGGGGGGGCATATAGGGCACCTCAACATGAAAAATGGAGAACACCAGAGGCTAGCTGGCTTTGCTCGATATACGCACATTCAGGGAATACTTTGTAACATCGTACATTTCGTTCTTTACGAAGATGAGAGTCTAGCTGACTGAGGTCAAATATGCTCCAAAGTTGAATATTGTTTGGAACTTCTTTGCAGTTTTTGTTTGC